GGCCACCTAAAGAACCATTCTGAGTCTCCAAGCTCACCCCGCCCCGAGGGCCGAGCTACCCAGGCCTCCGCCATTTCCGAGCACAGTGTGCCTTAAGCCCTTCCTGGTCCCGACTCTCTTCCTGGAGTGAAAACATAGCTGAGGGCCGGGAACAAAAGGGGTGTCAGGTGCCCTGGCTGGTTTGGCTCAGCAGATAGAGCGTCAGCTTGTGGACTAAAGGGTCCCTGGTTTAATTTCAGTCAAGGGCACAGGCCCGGGTTGTGGGCTCGATCCCCACTAGGGGGCATGCAAGGTAGCCAATCCAGGATTCTCTCTCATCTTGGATGTTTCTCTTCCCCCTCTTCTTTCCTCTCTGAAATAAAAACCACAAGGGGTGTCAGGTGCTGGACTCTGTAAACGTGTCCTCATGTCTGTGCTCAGCCTCAGTGCCATGCATTCACAACCCAGATAAAACGTGAGTGTCCACACTGCACAGCTGGCAGTTCCACTGACTTCAGACCGAAGCGGCACTGGCGCCCTCCCAGGGGGCTCCCGTATGTAGTTCACGACCAAGGACAACGGCGGAACCGCTAGATGCTGCATTAGCGCCGAGTCCCTCCACACACACTCAGGACACACGGCTTCTCTTCCCCACGCACTCTGAAACATCCGACAGTGTCTAGTGGAAAAAGTGCCCGTTTCTGATGGCTGGCCGGCCGCTTCAACGCTGAGAGGACGTGTATAATCAATAACTTCCGAGTCTGTTTCTAGAACACTTTGCAAAGCATGTTCTGCAAAGTGCCAGTTTCTCCAAGTGGCAACGGCACCGGGCAGGTCTGCCGACGCTGGCTTCTCGACAAGGGAGCGTCGGCCACAGTGACAGGGAAATGCACTGGGCCCCGCACAGGGGAAGGTGACAGGCCGCTCCCCCAGTGACCGCGTCCCGCCAGGAGCACAGGGAAAAGGATGCGCTACCCCCGCGCTGGCCACTGAGCCACCACCAGCCATGCTGTGAGTGAAAGAACTCGGCAGCCGCAGGAAGGGGTGGTGACTGTTCGGGACGTCACATACAGAGCATTCCAGTCATTGCAGAGAAACCCTCTGGCCAGTGCGCTAAGTCCCGCCCACCGGGAGGGCGGAGGCTGCCATGTTGTCTCACAGTAACAGTGACTGAACACGGCTGTTTCCCTCTCTCCAACGTTACCTCTTGTCCATGTTCTTGCTACTAGAAAAGAGGAACGTCTCACTGAACTGAATACACATTTATGGTTCATCTGGAGTGATTTTTTTCACATCTTCCTTCCAGGACTCCCCGTGCCTCCCGTTATGGAATAGGAAGATACCACCACACGGAGAAAGAAAACCGCGCGCCCCCCAATGCTGCGCGCGCCCCCACCCCGCCCGAGCCGGGCCCAGCACGCACCTTCTCCGTTGCAGTCGGAGCACACGGACTGCATCTGCTGCACCATGCCCGGGGCCAGCTGCCGGATCATGATGCGGACGCCGCGGCCCCGGCAGGCCCCGCACTTCTGAACGGCCCCCGACTTTCCGCCTTGGCTAAAGAAGCAAAGGGTCCGTTAGGCGCCTGCCCGCAGACAGGACAGGCAGGAGCTGTGCTTCCCGCCTTCATCTCCAACCCCTCAGTGACCATCAAACTGACTGCAGAGGGAGAGAAATGTCTGTCGGGTGGAGAGTTTTGCAAAGAACAACTTCACTGGCAGACACGCGGTGCCGCTGGCACAGGTGGGTGACCCACAGCCAGGCCACACTTACCCGCTGCAGGCGCTGCACAGCACATTCTTGCTAAGCTGGAGTTTGGTGGTCTTGCCGTTGTACAGATCTTCTAAAGACACTCTGGGGAGAAAGGAATTGGGTTCAATCAAATGTTGCCCAGTTCTCTCAAACACAGACATAATGACAGCCGAAACAGCAAATTTCACTATAACCTTCTCAAGCAAAGGACTAAAGCCCCCTTTCATGACGCCACGGACTGCGGTTTCACTGGAGGCCTGGATCACCAGAAAGCTGTGTCCGAACAGCACAGATGGGCCTACGGCCAGCACAGGGTCAGGCCAGCGGCGCGCTCTTGCATTTTCTGATAAAGCTGGCAACTCAAGTGCACAGCCTCCCCCGGCTCAGGCAGGAACCCCCTTTCCAGGACAGACGGACACAGCGAGGCTAAGGCAGGCCTCACTCCACGACAAGGCTCTGCACCCACCAAGGTCAGGTCAGAAGGGCGACCAAGTCCTGTTATAACTGGAGGGTGGCACTCGGAGTGCATGTCTCAAAAGAGAAAGGGAAAAAGTGGCCTTATCTACCATGTGACAGTGAGAGAGGAGGAGGGAACAGGTCTTTACCAGAGCCTACAAGTCTTCACGCTCTAAAGAACCCAGTTAATTCTAGGCAAAACTGCATCAATTTTTACCAAATTTTCAGAGTTCTAAGACAGAAAAAGGGTGGCGTTAAAAAGTCTTTTAAAAATATATGACTTAGCCGAAACCGGTTTGGCTCAATGGACAGTGTCGGCTTGGGGACTGAAGGGTCCTGGGTTCGATTCCGGTCAGGGGCATGTACCTTGGTTGCAGGCATATCTCCAGTAGGGGGTGTGCAAGAGGCAGCTGATTGATGACTCTCTCTCATCGATGTTTCTAACTCTTTATCTCTCTCCCTTCCTCTCTGTACAAAATCAATAATAAAAAATATATATATATATATATATATAACTTAGCCCTAGCTGGTTTGGCTCAGTGGTAACAGCGTTGGCCTGTGACTGAAGGGGCCCGGGTTTGATTCCAGTCAAGGGCATTAAGCCTGGGCTGTGGGCTCAATCTCCCCGGGAGGGCGGTGGAGGGGGGCATGCAAGAGGCAGCTGATCAATGATTCTCTCTCATCATTGATGTTTCTATCTCTCTCTCTCTCTCCCTCCCTCTCTAAAATCAATAAAAATATTTTAAAAATAAAAATAGAATAGAGGAACAAAAAAATAGTTGAAGTATATTGCAAAGAACAGTCTCTTTTTGTTGTTGTTGTTGATGGTTTACAAAAATTTATTGAGTTGATCTTCTATCCCATGAGTAACTCAAACTTTCTCAAAATTGCTAAGTGAAGCTAATGAGAAGGAGAAGGAAACACTGACAAAGTCGTCTGTCGTCGTCGTCCCCCCCCCTCCCACCCCCCCCTCGGTAAGCAATGCCATGTCCACGGCGGCCCCCTGGACAAAAGCCCCCGGGGTGTCCGCCTCTTACTTTCCATAAGAACCCTGAACCAAATCTCTGACAGCAAACAAACCGGCAGGGCCTCTCGGAGGCTATTACGTTACAGCCAGCACACAAAACCGCACCGAGGCCGGCACAGTGGCCGAGGCCAACCACCGGGGCCGAGAAAGGAGAAATGTGGGCCATGGTCTGTGGAGCTGACCTCTCCGGCCGTTTCTACCAGGAAACGGCTGCATCTATCGGCTGCACACATGGCCTGCCTGGGAACCTCTGCCAGGAGAGCTGCGCAGACACCCCAGAGCACCACAACCTCGGGAGGCCCTGGCAGCCGCCTGGGAAGGGGAGCCACTAAATGCCACGGCGGGAGCATCAAGCCACCAACACGGAATGCATCACCGCAGGGAATGCTCAATGCCGCGGAGAACGCAGCAGGAAATAACTGCATGGGCTGCACACTAGGAACCAGCATGTAAAGGCGGCCTGAAGGACCATGAAACCCAGCACTCTGGATTCTACTTCTCAGACCATTTCTTTTCTCTTTTGTAATGTTTTTATTAATTTCAGAGAGGAAGGGAGAGGGAGAGAGAAACATCCATGATGAGAGAGAATCACTCACTGATCGGCTGCCTCCTACATGCCCCACACGGGGGGTGGAGCCCGCAACCTGGGCCTGTGCCCTGACCAGGAATCAAACCCTGACCTCCTGGTTCATAGGTTGATGCTCAGCCCCTGCGCCATACTGGCCAGGTCTTAGACCATTTCTTTGTCAAAGAAAAATATAGGGAAAAAACAAAAGTAACCAATACTGCACAAGTGTTACTCTTGGAATAGTATCCAAATGATACCATTTCTAAGGATAAATTCTTTCAACACATACATCTAAGAATGAGAGTCAAACAATGTAACAGGTTATACTTTACTTCCTCTGATCTATTCAGATGAATAAGTAACATGAAATATTTTAAGTGCTGGAAATTCAGCCCCTGCCATTTGCTTGTAAAATCATTATTAGATTGAAAAGCTGACAGGACCCAAGGCCTCACAAATTTCACAAAGTAAAAAAGCTAGTTTCCAATTGTAGCAGGTTCATGAGCTCACAGTCTAAGATCAAGGTCAGACCCGTTCATATGTTGGCAGGTTGACGCCAGGCTTGAAGCCTGCAAGCTCCATGGAAACCGATTTCGGAGAGTTCTCGCTGAGGATCAAGTAATGAGTGACTACACCGTGCAAACACACTAGGCTGGCAGGCACTCAGCTCGTGTGTTTTTAATAAAAAGTGACTTGGGAGGTTTAAATACGTCAAAGGGGAGAACTCCATCATTGGAAATGCCAGTCACAGACTCTGCCTGGGGAGCTCATGAACAAAACCATCCTCCCACTCAGTGCCAACACCACCCGCCCTTTGGATTTGTAGCAAAACACACACACCCAGTTACCAAATTCAACTTGTCACCCCAAGTGGACAGACAGCGAGGCTCCCGGAGTCTGTTTTCTGATGACAGATAACACCTGTGGACACACCTGTTCTCTCCTACTATCGCTATGGAAGGAAAGTGCTTTTTAAAGGAAAAAGAGGTATTCACTTGAGCGGATGCATCATGTCCTCTCCTCTTCTCCGGCCATTCCGACTCCTGCTCTGATTGCCCATGAAGCCGAACAGTCCGCCCCCGAAAATGTGCGAGAAGATGTCGTCCATGCCGCCACCGCCCCCGCCGCCTTCCCGGAGGCCCTGCTCTCCGTATCGGTCATACAGCTCGCGTTTCTCGGGGTTTGAGAGGACTTCATATGCAAAACTGATTTCTTTGAACTATCGAGAAAAAGGAAAACAATCAGGTTTTTAAATAGAAGAGTGGAGAAAGGCTACGGGAACCCAGAATCCACTGAATTCCGGAAGGTGCAAGCTGCCTCTGGTTTGATCCTGGCCCATTCCCACCCTCCACTGCCCGGAATGCCGGTGTTCCTGCCACAAAACCAAACTCTCCGAACCTAAGAACTGGGCTCACGGGCATAAAGGACTTTTCTTACGTTCCTTTGACAAGGAGGGCAACTTAAGTTTAAGGCGGAAACCTTGGGGAAAGTCTCACGTTACTTACTTTGTCACCAGCATTTGGATTCTTATCAGGGTGGTACTCCTTGGCTAGTTTTCTGTACGCCTTCAATGAGGGGTAAAAAACAGACAAAAAACGGGAGGGTTATAGACACAGACCAGCTTAAAGACTTGTCCTAACATAACCACTTCCTGAGAAGCATCACCACCTTTCCAAAACAGCCTGTGTTCACGGCAACTGCCGCTTCCCATCTTAACACTGTTTACTGGCTGACTTAACACAATAAAGCAGGCGGCAGTTTTGCTTGAAAAGAGGTTATATCGAAGCCAGATGCAAACAATGAAACGCCGCCAGAGGAAAAGCCCAAAACATCGAACACTCTGGAACACTCCGTCTCTTCACAGCTGCCCCATGTCTTCCATGGCCACTAACCGGGTCCGAGTCAAGAAGACTTGGATAAGGCGTGTTTGTGAAGCTTTACCAACGGCAAGACATTGTCACTAACAGCCAAGCCGCGGTGAGGATTCCTGCTCACGACGGATCCTCTCATTGTAGCATCCGGGGGAGGCAGGAGCAGCTCCGGGCCGTGTTTTATTTTCATCAGGGGAGGGGGGCCCGCTAACTGGGGTTCGGGGACCTGGGCGAGCCTCGGTCTACGGGAAGGCACCCACTAGATGGAGGCGGCCGGGCTCCCCTGCACCCCGGTCTTCATTCTCAGGCCCAGGAATTACATAATGGGCCGGCATTTCCGGTAAGGTAACAGGAAGTCCCCTAGCCTCCAACTGTCCCGTCCCGCCGCCTCCGGGAGCGGAGACCCGGGTTTTCTGCGCTCGCGGGCGCGGAGGCCGCGGGGAGCCATCGGGGAGCCATCGGGCGCCTCCTTTGGGCGCTGTCAGCAGGCGGCCCGCGCGGCGCGATGGCGAGGCCGGCCATTTATTTTTAGGCGGCGGACACTCAGGGGCTTGGCCGGCACCCACGCCGCCGCCCGGAGCGAGCGGGGGCAGGACGCCCGCCGCGTTACCTGCCCGGGCCGTGTGCGCGCGGCCACGCGGGAGGGACGGAGGGGGACGGAGGGGGGAGGGAGGCGGAAGGAAGGGCGGAGCGGCCGCGGCCCCGGCGAACAGCCCACCTGCCCCGCCGCACCGGCCGGCGGCCGCGGCCTGGACGTCCCTCCCGGGGCCGGGGCCCACCCTGTCGGTCCGGGCCTGCCCCGGCGCCGCGGCGGAGGGAGGGGAGGAAGCCCGGGTGCGCGCCGCGGCCGCGGTGTTTGCTGCAGCCGCGGGCGGGGCCGGCGGCCAAGGTCAGGCGGGGCCGGGCGGGCGGCCCGCGAACCGCGTCCGGCGGCCTCGCCGCGCCCCCACCCCCGGCCTGGGCCCGGCGCCGGCTCGCGGGCCGCCCGGGAGCGCGGCCTGGCCGCCCGGCGCCGCGCAGGCCCGCGCCCCGCCGCCCGGTACCTTCTTCAGCTCGTTCTCGCTGGCGCCGGGCGGCACGCCCAGGATGTCGTACAGCTTCGTGTCGACCACGTTCGCCATGGCGGCCGGCCGGCGGCGGGCGGCGGGCGGGCAGGAGGGCGGCGGCGGCGCGGACGGAGCGGCGGCGCAGGCCGAGGAGACAGCGAGGGGAGGGCGGGGGCGGGGCTGCACTTTGACCCGGCGCACGCCGCGCCGTGACGTCAGCGCGCAGCCGTCCGGGCGCCGGCGGCCGCGGGGTCGGGTGTGACGCCGCGCGCGCGCGCGCCTCCCCCTCGGCGTCCGGGGCCCCCGCGGCCAGCGTGGAGCCGGGCGCTGGGCCCTCCGTCCGGATGCCGGCCGCCCCGGGCCGGCTCCCGCGGGCCGGAGGGTGGGAAGGACCCCCGGGGCTGCGCGTCTCGCGTGTCGCACTTCCGGGCGCGTCCAGGCGTCCGCCCGAAGCAGCGGATCGCACCCCGGAGCGCCGCCCTCCAGCGCCTTAAGGGGAACCACTTGTTTCCCAACGCCCTGCTTCCTAAACTCCTGCGCATCTCACAGGCCGCTGAGGCCCCGGCCGGCGTGGTTCAGTGGGTAGAGCTGCGGACTGAAGGGTCCTGGGGTTCGAGGCCCGGTCAGGGCACAGGCCCGGTTGTGGGCTGGATCCCCAGTGGGGGGTGCTGGAGGCAGCCTATGCATGATTCTCTCTCATCATTGCTGTTTCTGTCTCTGGAGATCAATAATAATAATAATAATAATAATTAATAATAATAATAATAATAATAATAATGGATGACTTTGTAAGACTTGGGTTTTCTCCACGGCCTCCTGCCCACGCCCCATGTGTTTCAGTCTAACAGGAGGCAGCCTGGCTGGGCACACCCAGCATCAGAAGATGTTTTGCTCGCCCTAACTGGTGTGGCTCAGTAGATAGAGCACTGGCCTGCGGACTGAAGGGTTCCAGGTTCGATTCCGGTTAAGGTCGAGTACCTGGGTTGCACGCACATCCCCGGTAGGGAGTGTGCAGGAGGCAGTTGATCGATGTTTCTCATCGATGTTTCTAACTCTATCCCTCCCCCTTCCTCAACAAAATATGTTTTAAAAAGAAAAAGGAAATGTTTTGCTGTGAACCACCACGTGTTAAGGTGGTGGACAAACGTGTTACAAAAGAACAAGCCATGTCTGTGAACACAGACAGGATGTCTGCTCCTTTGGAGCGCGCCCTGGTGGTTAGTAAAGACCCAGCCTCAGCGTCTCCGAATACTCTCTTGGCATTCCTCAGGACCCGGCGTGGCCGTGGCCGTGGCCGTGGCCGTGGCCGTGGCCGGCGTGGCCCAGGCGGTTCGGCATTCTCTCCTGCACAGAGAGATTGCAGGTTTGATTCCAGGTCAAGGGCACATGCCTGGGTGCAGGAGGTGGCTCATCAATGTTAGGTTTTTTTAAAAAAATATATAGATTTTTAATTTATTTCAGAGAGGAAGGGAGAGGGAGAGACAGAAACATCAAAGATGAGAGAGAATCATGGATGGGCTGCCTCCTGCACACCCCCTACTGGGGACTGAGCCCAGAACTCAGGCATGTGTCCTTGATGGGAATCGAACCCAGGACCCTTCAGTCTGCAGGCTGATGCTCCATCCACTGAGCCAAACCAGCTAGGGCTCAATGTTACTTTCTCACATTGATGTTTCTCTTCCCCTCTCCCTTCCTCTCTCTCAAATCAAGAATAATAACATATTAAACAAACAAAAAACATTTGAACAACCCAGCTGTGGAGGGCCTGGAGTACAGGCCAAGGGATTTGCAAACATATCCCTGGACACCGGACACTCCTCCCACCTACCTCTCCCCTTTCCCACCAATCCCATCCAAACCTGCTCTGCCCGGATCCCACAGCCGGGGGCAGGCTGTCCCCGCGGAGGCCCCACGGCCTGGGCTGGGCCTTGGCAGCCAGGTCCGATGTGGGGTTTCAATGGGATTAGTCTGAGCTCCACCAATGGGCTGCAGGTTTCTTAGGGGAAACTTTGCCCCACAAGGTGTGGCTCTGAATGCCGGGGAGTCCTCCATCACTTCCGTTTCCCACTTCCTTTCCACAGGCTGGGTCGCTCCCAAGGGGCGGTAGGAAGCCGTGGTGCAGGCAGAGGGAGTGGGGGCCGGCCTGGCTCGGCCGTGGACTGACACCGTGGCTGTGAGCGAGCGGGTTCCCAGGCAGGTCCTCCTGTGTCAGTGGGTGTCACAGTGTCAGCTCATGGGCTTGTGAGGGTTCCAATGACACAGCGCGCTTGGACCAGGAGCAAAGCAAACAGCCGCGAGCAATCGTCTGTCTGGTCCGTTTGCCTGCAGGCTGTCTCCACCTCCCTGCTGCCATCTGTGTCCCTGCAGTCCCACTCCCCCAGCGGGGTTTCCCTCTGTGGACCGAGGACTGCCCCCGCCATCCCTTCTCATGGCCTCCCTCTCCCGGTCCCCGTGCTCAGCAATGACCGTGGTCTACTCTTCTGCCAGGTCCTCTGATCCTCTCCCACACACTAGCTTTCACAATGTTTTGTGTGTGTGTGTGTGTTTTTAAATTTTTTTTGTGTTTTTTTTCTCTCTTTTATTATATATATATATATATATATAGATATAGATATAGATATAGATATAGATATAGATATATAGATATATTTGCAAAAGAAAGGGAAAGGGAGAGGGATAGTTAAAAACATCGATGAGAGAGAAACATCCATCAGCTGCCTCCTGCACACCTCCCACTGGGGATGTGCCACAATCAAGGTACATGCTCCTGACCGGAATTGAACCTGACCCTTCAGTCAGCAGGTCAATGCTCTATCCACTGAACCACACCGGTTAAGGCCATATCGTTTATCTTATTTTCTTTCTGCTCTAAAGAGTCCAGAAGAGCGAGACTTTATTTGTTTCAGTTTTCTTCTTCTCCTTCTCCTCCTCCTCCTCCTCCTTTCCAAGGGAAAGGCCCTTTGGTGACTCTTGGCTTCTGCTAGCATCAATCCCTCCCTCCCTCTGTAATCTGTGACCTGATTCTAGCTCATGTTTTGTGTGTGTTTTCCTTTGTTGACAACAGTCTGCCATGTGACCGGCTGATCTCATAGGTCAACAAGTGATTGCAGAGCAGCTCCGTGCACTCCCGGGACACACGCCGGCCTCACGCTGAGCCACGCCGTGTCCGTGCGAGCCCGGCCACACCTGAGCCGCCCACGTGGTGCTCCGCAGGGAGCGCAGGCCCAGCACTCCGCAAGTGGCCAGGCCCGGGAAGCGCTGAGTCAGCGCGTCTGTGGCTCCAGCAGGGCCTGCAAGTTCAAGGCCCCGGAGATGTCAGCTTCCTGCCCGGCTTCCCGAGTGCAAGTTCGGTTCCTCTCGGTGGTGAACTTGTGTAACTGCGGGGCGGGGTGGGGGGTGGGAGGGGGAGGACTGGGGCAGGAGTGGGAGGACGTTGCCACTGCTCCCTGCGAACCTCACGGCCCCCGTGGCCCATCGCGTGAGCCAGCCCCGGGGGGGGGCCACTCAGGTGGCCAGGGGGCGTTTTGCTTCCTGCCCTTCACATCGCTAAGCTTTTTAAAATATGTCTTTTATTGATTTTAGAGAGAGAGAAAGGGAGAGAGCTAGAGAGACAGACACGCTGGCTGGCTGCCTCTGGCCCGTCCCCTTGTGCTCATGCCGGGAATGGAGCCGTGACCGCCTGATCCACGGTTGATGCTCAGCCACTGAGCCGCAC